ATGTCACCACTGCCTGGTCTGAAAGGCTGATCAGTGTGGCTGTTTTACTCTCTGAACCTCAGGCCAGCTTTATTTATTAAAATACAAATGAAATATCACTACAAGTCTCTACTATGGAATTGTCTGTGCCATTAAAACTTAATGAACCAAATATTAAAGAATGTTTAATTCAGCGTATGGGCGCACCAAAAGACACAGATTACTCAGATTTAAAGATGGTAATCCAAAGTGGTTGAGAGCATGGGCTTTGGAATGCAGCTGAGTCTGACTGTCCCTCCAGCAGTGGAACTTGGGCAGCTAGTTAAGTCTCCATGTTCTTATCTTGTGTAGGATGGATGAACTCAGCTTCTCCTTGCTGCAGTGCTAATCTGCAGTAGTTTAGACGAGCTCATAGTTTGGTGGATTTCAGTCCCTGGCTCTTTGGCCATTTTGCCTTTGGACCTGTGGAAAGGACAGCACCCATGGCATGGATCGTATTATGGGGCTGAGGAGTAAAGGAGAGAGAGGAAGAAATTGGGTTCCCCTTTTAAGAACACACCCTTATGATCTACTAGCCTCCATTAACGGTTCCACCACCCTCCAGTAATGCCACACTAGGGAAAACTTTTAAGACAAGGCTCTCTAAGGATCATCGCAACACGAAGCTTTAGCGCTTGCCCTTATGAGGAGCACAGCGAGGCACCAGCAGTCCCTTAACCAGAAAGAACAAGGTCATATTAGTTAGTGCCTCCTGTAAATAGCCAGAGGATGGCGTAGCACTGTTCTCTCACTATTGCATTGTGTTGCTTGAAATACCTAAGAACCTGATTCTGGAGGATACATGGAAGTCTTGGATCTCCTTTTACATCTCTTTAGAAACACTATGGCCCCTCTAACTGTGCCTGCCCTTCCTCAGAGTCCTGTCTGCATCCTGCCATTCTTATTCGTATACGTAGTTCCAGGAAGAGCATGGACAGGTTAAACAGCTAACTTTTGGTGCCCATCGACTTTTTCATTATATTGTTTAAAATACCACAAGGATGAGGATGGGAAGAAATGGTATCAGTAAATGAAGAAAAAGAGAGCCCCAAGGTTGAGCCAAGGATGATAACGCCTCTGCATTGCCAGATAATATGAGAATTAAATGATATCGTTGTTACTGGTTTTAATTTTCATTATTGCTGCATGGCTTGTCCTCTTAGTTCATTTCCTGGGCATTTTATGTATAGTCTTTTTTATCAGTGTCCAACTATATGTTGAAGAGAACCATGGTCCTATGAAATCTTACCAGCTTTACCAGTAGTTAAGCTTGTAGGTACTTACAGAAAAGCATCCCATACTTCTGGGATATGTTATACAGAAAAATGCTTGCATAGAGTTTTCATCCATTCTCACTAGTGACATTATTAAACAAATATAGCTGCACTATGCACTATGACAATACAGGTCACACATACCTCTGTACATTAAAATTAACTAAATGGGAAGATAATCAGCGAAGCACATTATATACATGTCTGAAAATGACATATTGAAGCCTATTATTTTATACAACCAATGTATTCCAATAAAAAAAAATGAACAGTAGTTTCTTATTTGTGGGCCCACATTTTTGGACAGTGAGTATTAGTTCTAGGTAATAAGAGCTTCATGTCCACATATACAGAACACATTTGTCTAAGAAAATTTTATAAATAGAACTGAACTAGAATATGAGGAAATTAAAGAGCCACATATCTTATTTGACTTGGAATCACTATCAGAGAGGATGTTTGCGACTAGACTAGTTTAATTGCTCTGCTTCTGCAGAACATCAAGTAACAGTGTTCTAGTTGCAGATTTGCAGTGTACTCTTCATATTCCTAAAATTTACCTTTTTATTTTTTGTTAGTAGATATGTTGGATTTTTTTATTGTTAATGTCCTGATACTGTATTAGAAGCTCCTGTTTACTTAAGCATTGTGGCTTTGTGTGGTCTAAAATAACAGTGTGGATATGAAATATTGCCAGGCGTTGTGGCACATGCCTTTAATTGTAGTACTCAGGTATCAGGAAGAGGCAGGCAGATTTCTTAAGAGTTTGAGGTCATCCTTGTAGCGGCGTAAACGAATGCAGACAGAGTGTAAAAATATATATATAGCTTTAATGTAGAAATAGACTTACAGAACCACCGTTCCCGCGGAGACCAGGAAAGCAGAAGCGAGAGCTCGGAGCTTGCTCGCCAAATTTATAGGCAGACATTAGCCCGAGGCGAACACGCCCCTTAAGGGGCGGGACTTATCCCTACATCTCCCCTTTTTGTCTAAATAAGACAGAACTAAACCAAATACAACTACATACAATAACAACAAATAATAAATACAACAAACAATATTGAGAACAAAAGCTTTGCTAAACATTCTATCTCAAGAAGTCCAAATAATGTAAAGAGTAACTACAATTATATAATCTTCAACTCAGTCAAAGATCTGAGAAGGGAATAAACACTACTCAACAAACGAGATATATCCAAAATGTGCAACAATTGACAGAGACAACTGACTACCTGGGCAATCATCCAAAGTCTCGTTTGCAACGTTGAGTCAACCAATTTTGGCTAAGGCCTAACATAACTGACATACCATTATTAAAGGCAAGGAACTTTTCAAAACTATCTTACCCTGTCTTGGCAGGATATGACGGTCCTGTTTTATCCATTGATGCACGCTCTGTATCTCTGTCAGTGGTTGAGGTATGGGCATTTCTTTGCCCAAAGGCCAGTTCTGCCAAATAGAAAGGCTCCAGGTGGAGTGTTTTTGGTGCTCAACATTCTCTCAGGAATAGAGCGGTGTTGCCAGGAGCAATTGTGTCTCACTATCACGAAACTCTGAGTTAGATTAAAGGCCATTTTCTACAGCTCTTTGAAGAGGTTGAAGATTATCTATCTATACTGAGTATAATCTCTATATATCTAAAGAACCTGATTAGTCTAATTATAAATGACAAACTTAGATGACAATTAGTCTATATAATTCTCAATATCTATCTAACTTAAAGACTAAGACAATAAACAACTGTGAAACAAATGAGGACAATGACCTCCAAATATAAACAATGTACAAATATACATTGCAGTAGGTAAATATATATCAATGCACAAATATTATATAAGTATCTTAATCAGAGGTAGAAATGTACACTGCAATATGGTAAATATATACAATATATATATATATCAATACAATATATGTCAATACATAAAAATGTTTTAAACAGAGGTAGAAACATGCATGCGTACAATAGTCAATCTATACCAATATATTTGTCTATTATCCCATCATCCCTCTTTTTTTTTTTCAAAATGATCCCTGAGCTTATAAAATTCCTCCCCCAACCCTCAATCATATACTAATTATAATCAACCCCTAAATGATGTCCCTAAACCCAAGGGCAAACTTTACTGGGTGAGGGGACGTCGTTCTCTAGAATTACTTCCAGCTGTCATAGGGGCGACGTTCTTTCTGGGGGATCCTGTGAAAGTAAAATGATGGTTAAATTTCAAGATAATGTCTTTTAAAATTGCAAATAGTCTCTGAGTATTTTCATGCAGGTCTGGCCAAAATGTTGTATAAGATGTGCACCATTTCAGCTAACCAAGTTGGAACTGTCTTGTGCAGCTGGTACCCAAAGCAGGCCTTGTAGTAGCGCTATCAGTATCATGACGTCATATCAACCAGGTGGAGTTGTTGTTATGGGGCCCCATCTTCTTCCTGGAAACTTCAAATGTCACTTCAGGAAAAACTCATTGTTCATTATGAAAAACTTAAACATTAATCATATATATATATATATATATATATATATATTCAATGAAAGACATGATAGATATATTCAATGAAAAGTATGATAGATATGAAGAAAAGCAAAGATGTTTTCTAAACTCATATTTCTTTCTGTCCCATATCATGGCTCTTGACATGAGACAGAAACTCCAGAAACTCTGGGTTTTTCTCTTACTAACAGGCTTGGAATTGGAGAGGGACTGAGCCAGAGTCCAACTTCAAAACCAGCTTTATAAATTTAGAAATATGGTTTAATATTACTTACACAACCCATTCAGTTTTCTTGATATTTCCTATTGGGCAGGTATTTTTCCATCTGTCAGTATCCAAACATCCAGGGTCCCTTGAATTTCTCAAAGATGAGTGTTTTCCTGTGGAGATAAGAACAGAACCCTGCCCCCATTCTATATGTTTTTCTTACCACCTGTATGAATATCATCGTTGTGGATGAGTTGTCATTTCTCCTTTCCAAGAGGTTTCTCCTCTTCAGATCGAAACTTTATTAATTTTGATGGTATCCACAATTTTTCTTCTCCTGTGGAAACAAGAGCAAAACCCCTTCCCCAACGTAGCACATCTCCTGGCTTCCACTGAGAGGTCAGCACATCTTTGAAATAAATCGGTTGATTTAGTTCAGCAGACTTTTCCATTATCCAATGTCTTTCTGCTGCTGTCGTTCCTTTCTCATTAGCGTTAAGAGTAGAAATAGACTTACAGAACCACCGTTCCCGCGGAGACCAGGAAAGCAGAAGCGAGAGCTCGGAGCTTGCTCGCCAAATTTATAGGCAGAAATTAGCCCGAGGCGAACACGCCCCTTTAGGGGCGGGACTTATCCCTACACATCCTGGTCTTCATAATGATTTCCAGGCCAACCAGGGCTATATTATGAGACCTTATCTCAAAAAAAAAAAAAAAAGGAAAGAAAAAGAAAAAAAAGAAAAGAAAAGAAAGAAAAAGGAAAAGGCATGCCATCACATTGCTAAACCTCAGTCAGAAGTGTGTGGGGTGGTCACATAGTGCACTAGGGGATTTAAAGCAGGACAGTACCTAGCCCACCTCGCCTAATCAGGCTTGGGGGTCTGAACAGCTCTGTGTCGCTCCCACTTACCATGTGATGCACCCTTATGTAGATGTCCTCAGGGGATGGTTCTTAGGAGATTCAAGTTCTTCTAGAAGATAATGTTTTGTTTTCAATCCTAGGAAGCTCTACAAAGAATCATCTCAACTCTGGCAAGTAAGAACGATGAGATTCAGAACTTTATTTATACACTAAATCACACACTGAAAGGAGTTCAGGTATGAATATTTCTATCAAAATTTGTATAGATGGGTGATTGCTAGCTAGTAAAATCTGAAGTGTAAACAGCCTGCATTGACTTAGGAGTATAACACAAAGCAGCAGGGAATTGGGTCTTCAAAGGACGGAAGAGTAAAATCACTTCCTGTGACATCCCTGCATTCTGTGCCGGGAAAGCAGGTGCCGGGGGGCAAGGACAGCTGCCATCGTGATTGCAAGCGGGTGTGGGGGGAGTCACTGCAACATGAGAAACTGTATTACAAAGTTACAGCATTAGGAAGGTTGAGAACCACTGCTGTAGAGTAAGGAAGTTTATGGTAGGAATTTATTCTGCCCTTTGCTTATGCCTTTTAGGTTTTAAATCTTGTATAGCTTTTTAGTAAAATCTTTGTTTTGTCTTTTTAAAACAGGAAAATTCTTCTAATGTGCTTTCAGAATTAGATGAAGAGTTTGATAGTTTGTACTCTATATTAGATGATGTGAAGGAAAGTATGATCAGCAGCATCAAGCAGGAGCAAGCACGTAAATCACAGGAGTTACAGGTGAGGATGTGCAGCTACTTAGACGTGGTGTTCTCCTTAGTGCTGGGGTTCTTTAGGCAAAAATAAGAGTCTGAACCTAACCATATCTTTGTCTTGCCTGAGTGGATTTTAGGTTGGTGTGGATCATAAATATCTTTAATATTTTTTAAAACTGTGGTTAAAATTAACAGAATTTACTGGCAGTCGTTTTAAGGTATAGCTTTTTGATTCATACTGTGGTTTAACCGAACTCAGGATCTTTTCTGCATTACTACAAAGCTGACATTCTTACCCCTGGAATAACAGTCCCTCACTTCTGCTCCGTCAGCTCCTGGCATTTGTGCCTCTTGTTCCATTATTTTGATTACTTAGAGGTCTCATGAAAATGGAACTGTACACCATTTGTCCTTTTGAGACCGTGCAGCTTTAGCATAATGTTCCCAAGGTGTGTCCATTTCCTTATGGCTGAAGAACATTTCTTTATATACTGTTCTGTGACCCTGAGCTGTTTATACCTTTGGCTTGTAGGCAGGACTGCAGTGAGTGTGGACAGGCAGACATCTTGAAGGCACTCTTTTTTTCATTCTTTGGTCTGTACCCAGAAGTCAGTGTGCTGATGATGTGGCAGCTGCCCTGCCCTCTAGTTTTGTGAGGTGCCATGCACTCTGTTCTCGCTGCCTGCGCTATTGATATTCCCACCAGCTGTGCAGTGGTGCCACTCGCTCCATTTTTATTAAAAGCTGTTTCCTGTTTGTTTTGTTTTGTTGGCATACATCATAAAAGGGTACGAATCAATTTTTATTTGTTTACTTGCATGCTGTTTTGAGATAGAGTCTAACTGTGTAACCCTGGCTGTCCTGGGACTCACTTGTAGACCAGACTGGCCTCAAACTCACAAAGATCCATCTACCTTCGCCTACTGGTATTAAAGGCAAACATACACTGCTATACCTGGCTATGAAACAGTATTTTTCTTATGGTTTTGATTTCCATTTCCCTAGTGGTTAGAGAGAGAGAACAGTTTTTGTATGCTTGTTAATGTCTATATATTTTTCTCAAAGAAATTTTTATTCATTTTTCCTGTTTACTAAGTAATTTATTGTTGTAAAGTTACAAGATTTCTTTATGAGTTCTTTCAGTATTTTTATTTTAATTTTATTTTCGGCATGACTTTCCTGGGGTTTTGAATCCAGCCAGGGCTGTGTATGTGCCTGCTCTGCTTAGCTGCATACAAGCCCTGGAGCTCTGGATATTAACCCATGGTGGGTTTGATTTGGAAATATTTTCTCATATTCTGTATTTTTGCCTTTTCACTCTAAGTTCTTTTCATTGTTCTATAATTACAAATTACAATTTAAAAGAGTTTTTAATACTTGAGTCATGCATAAGTGGACTTGAACTGTGCTAATTTAAATAGTTAAACATTACCAATCAATTGAATCTTCACTACAAAGGTTGCTTTCTAAAGGTAGATTATTCTGGTATTCTAGTTTATATTATAGACAGTTTTCCAACTACTCTAAGAAACATTCAGTTCATTTCAATCCCAGGTATTTATAATTGCTTTATTTATCCTTTTTTGTAAATTATGTACTCAATATTTTTATCTGCTTGTAATTAAGCTTTTAAAAATATTTGTCTCTGAGAGAAGGGTGGTGTGTGAGTGTTGGTCAAATGACAACTTTTTCAAGTCAGTTTTTACCTTCCACTGTGGGACGAACTTGTATCATCAGACTTGTACTGCAAATGCTTCTATTCACCGAGTCATCTTGCCAGTTCTTGTTAGGCTGTTTGGATACATTATAGGAAAAGAGGTAGATTTGTCATGTATATAACTGATGGTTAAATCTTTCTTTAGTCACTCTATGACATACGTATATTTATTCAATTACTACCATTAGAATCTCTTTAAGTTTATTATAGCATGTATTTGAGTTGGCAGTAGGAAAGTTCATCTTCATGATTTGGGCCTTGTGATCCCCCAGAGTCAGCTCAGTCAATGTAACAATGCCCTGGAAAACTCCGAAGAACTGCTGGAATTTGCAACCAGGTCACTGGATATAAAGGAGCCTGAAGAATTCTCAAAGGTAAATAAAACAAAACAAAAATAACAGACAAAAATCCCTCTCCTAGTATACCGAAGGAGTGTCTAAAGAAATGTTTTGTCATATCTGATACTGAAAAGGTCGTGGGGTTTTTCCTAAATAAAACACAAGATGTTCACTTATTTCAAAGCATGTAATTTTTTAGAGTATGTATCTTTGGGATCAGGAATTGATTATTTTAGTTACCTTTTTCAACGTTAAATTTAAATGTTTTCTTTTTTCAGTCATATCCCTATTGGCATTTTTTTTAAAGGTCCTTCAGTACTTGAGCCGAGTCCTGTTTTTCCCCAGGCCTCCTTCAGTTGCTTAGTTACTGAAGATGATGTGGGTGAACTCTGCAGTGTGGGCAGTGGCTGAGCGGCAGCTGTGGTGAAGCTGGGAAAGCAGCTCTTTGACTCACACTATGTTCAAATCTCTCATTAAAGTCTTTAAGTTGGGCTAACATAATAGGAAACGGTAACAATAAAATAGCCTTGGCCACAACCCACAAATACTGCTTTTTATCTTCTTCATGTTCAAGTTCTATTATTTAAATTTCTGTGTTCCTGGTCCTAGCATGAGATCTGGATTTGAAGGACCTCCATTTATCAGCATTATATGTCTGAAAGTGGCACAAATATGATAGAATTTTAGAATGTACTTCACCTTGTTTTGAAATAAATTAGGAGTATAGTTCATAGTTAATACATGCAAAAGGTTCCATTGAGATCCAGATTATTAGGTAAATAGCTAGGACTACACCAACTCTGGTTTCTCCTGTCACTGGTACTTGGCTTGCAGAATAGTGCTTGAATTCTTTTTCAAAAAATTAACATTCCTATTTTCACCCTGAATTCAAACCTTGAACTCTTCCAAAGAAAAGAAGTGAGCCAAACAGTTTCCAAGTCTGTATAGAATTATCCACCTCCTTCCAGCCACCTGTCAGATTAAGAGGGGAGAATGCTTTCCTCCCCGTGAGCACCTACAGTGGAGTAACAGCAGCCAGGTACTGAAAAGGGGAGCACTGTCTTCTGCATTTGATCACAGACGAAAAGAGAAAATGGGGCTTATTTCTTTTCTCTCACTCAGGATAGCTCACCCCTGGAATAGCGCTCAGGGTATGTCTGTCTCTTGAGCCTTGAGAAGAGCAGACAGACAGCTGGGTCAGTACTCTGCAGGCAGACAGTGGGAGGGTCCTCAATTTAGGCTGGTCAGCAATGCTGAGGACAAAGGAGGACCTTTAACAAAGCATGCTTTATCTTTGAAGACAGCTACAAATAAATTAAATGTTTACTAAACACATCATAAAGTAGAACTGTACTGTTTATAATTTGTGAGTGTCGGTGTCTTAGAGAAGTGTGCTCTGCTGTACAGGTCATAAAGGTGTGAGTAGGACTGTACTGACTTAGTTTCAGGCCACTTACTTTTAAGTGAGTGTGTGTGCACTTGTTTGTTTGTAGTGTATCGGTGTTTTGCTTGCATGTATATATGTGTGCTATGTATATGTATTATACCCTCAGAGGCTAGAAGAGGGCATCAGATCTCTGGACTGGAGTTACAGGGGGCTGTAAAATACCCTGTAGGTGCTGGGGTCCAAACCTACGTCCTCTGCAAAAGCAGCAAGTGCAAGTGCTTTTTACCACTGAGCCATCTCTTCCAGCCCTGATCATATGTTTTGAAAAATAGTACATTTATGAAGTTAAATATATTTACATACATACATACATACATACACACACACACGTATATATATATCACAAGTTAAATACACACATGTATCCATTTCCTTTAATGTAGAAAGTCAGTGGTGTGCAACTAGTTCTTTTCTGGAGGACTTTTTAAAAAAGAAACAAAGGAAAGACAAGGTTTCCCTATGTAGACCTGACTGGCCTGGGATTTGATATGTAGACTGGGATGGCCTAATAAAGCTCACAGAGAGTCATGGCAAGGCTAGTATTTTTGTCTATGGAAAAAGAACATTTTGCAATATCTCTTTTTTTCTATTTTCCTTTGTATAAAAAGAAAAAAATGATATTAGGAGGAAATACACATTTCTTGTCTTTGACAGAGATAGTAGGTCCCTGAGATTCAAACATTAGGAGCTTTTTCACATCATAGAGTTTGATTCTGTAGCCTATGATGTCACACGCCACAAATGAATGTTTCTAATTACACCGCAAAAGGTATGGCTTACCTTTTGGATTTACATAAGAAAAACAAGCTCCCAGATCATGAACATTTGAAGAAGAAAAAATAAAGATTGATCTGAAGGCTGAGCAACCATGGTGGAAAGTACAAATGAGACGACTTCCCAGATCTGTGGAAAGAGGAGCAGTGAGGAAGAGTATGGACAGCCTCTGCAGTGAGCTGTGCCTGTGCTGGACAGAGGGGACCGTGGGAGCCTCTGCAGTGAGCCGTGCCTGCGCTGGACAGAGGGGACCGTGGGAGCCTCTGCAGTGAGCCGTTCCTGCGCTGGACAGAGGGGACCGTGGGAGCCTCTGCAGTGAGCCGTTCCTGCGCTGGACAGAGGGGACCGTGGGAGCCTCTGCAGTGAGCCGTGCCTGCGCTGGACAGAGGGGACCGTGGGAGCCTCTGCAGTGAGCCGTGCCTGCGCTGGACAGAGGGGACTGTGGGAGCCTCTGCAGTGAGCCGTGCCTGCGCTGGACAGAGGGGACCGTGGGAGCAAAGGTGCTTTCATCAGGGGGAGAGAAATGAAGAGGGAAGGTGAGACAAGGACGTCCATGTGCCCACAGTCTGTGCCCAGGGGCAAGCCGAAAGATTAAAAGTTATTTGAACTGGCAAGAGAAAAAGGAGCGAGCTGAAGAGGCTGGGCGTGTGTGAAGGTCACGTCAGTGCTGGAGCAGAGAACCACCCTTTGCTTTCTTTCCAATGTTTCCTGGGAAAAGTGTCACTTCTCCTCACTACAGACAACTCTGGTGTCGCTAGCAAAGGCACTGCTGTTAAAGTGGATTTAATGTGGGTCTTGTGCCATAGGAAGCAAGATTATTTGGGGAAGTAATATCCCTGGTTACTTACAGTTCTGAAAATGAAGCATGTATAAATGTCATCTTAGAGATAACCACAGACCAGACAGGAAGTCATCCACCATTACTGTGATGTTTCTGAATACCCACACTGCTGACATTGATCCCAGACAGCAAAAGAACTGTTCTGTAAATTCTCAGGGAGACAGCCTAGTCGTGCTGTTGTTTACTTGTTTACTTGTTTTGAGACAGAGTTTATGTGTATTCCAAGCCTACCTTGAGCTTTCTCTCTATCATCCATCTATCTATCTATCTATCTATCTATCTATCTATATCTGAAGATGACCTTGAACTCCTGATCTTCCTGGCTCCACCCTGAATGCTGGGATTGCGCGTGTTTACACCACCCTGCTCATTAAGTAGCTGGAGATCAGACTTAGGGCAACATGCATGCTATGCATGCACTTTACCAACTGAACAACGTTGACGGCCCCCAGGTTTTTAAAATGTAGAAACAAGTATTCAAAGTTTTTGAAAAACTCACAGAACCTATTAGTTACTGTATCTTTTCATTGTAGACAAAGAACAAGGTTAAGCAAATATTCATTTTTGTTTTTTTATACTTAGTTGGTAATTATGAATGGGAAACAATGTTCTTCTAACCAAGTTCAAAACCATCAGGAAATAAAACAGGAAAAGCAAGAAAGAGACCAAGTGCTGCTGTAGTACTGGAGAGTATTGTCATGTCAGTAGGCTAACTTCCTACGTCCAGAATTAACTTCCCTATCCAGATCTGCTCAGCAGAGGCTTCCACAGATCACTGCAGGTGGGAAGGGCTGTCTCTAACACTGACAGAACAGGAAGAACACAACGCATACTCTGTGTGGACAAAAAGTAAACAATACAAGTGAGCACCTTTAGACTCTTCATCTGGTGTCAGTGTGGAGTGAAGGGTAATGACAGTGGCATTTCCTCCGTGTGTAAAGAAGTGTCACGTGCAGAGGAGGGGCCCTGTTCTTTCCTGTAACACCTTATGAAATTCATTTTTAATTCCATCTGCCATGACAGTACTTTTCAAAACCAATGTAATAGTTGACTAATGCTCTTCTTATGAAAGGAGCTGTGTCAGATGAGGCTCATAACCTAAGGAGATTGGAGAGCCACAGTATTGGATTGACTGATCTATGTAGACCTTGTTTTAAAAACATTAAGAACTCAAATTCCTTAGTAGAGAAACAAAACAGACAAGGGCACAGAGTTGATTACTGATAATGCTGGAGCTGGAGCTTGTTGTGATCTATATCAAACCTCAGGCTTCGATGGTACTCAGACTAGGTATAAAAATGTCCTGTAGCAAGGAGAAACAATGTTAGGTGTGAAAGAAAGAAGAAACAGGAGCAGCACTTTATGTGGCTAATTTCCACTGGATTGCACTCAGTTACTAAGTATACCAGTCTGTATGCTAGCAAAACTGCCATCTTTGTCAGCTGTAATTGTTAACTATGCTTGTTAGCATGGAAGAAAATCTTTTGTTGGATACATTGTATTTTATTCATATATAAGTAGTCAAGGACTTCTTATGATTTCATTATTGTTCTCTGATTGTGAGAACCAGGTAATGACTGTGAACCCTTCCTAAACTTGTATTTCTCTTTTCCAAAAACAAAAGCAGAAGATATATGCACTAGGTGTAAGTAGCTAGCTTCTGTGACCTTTCCTGAGGGAGAGACCCACTTGAGATGTTTCTCATCTCCCCTTGTCTGAACCTCTGCTGTTCCAGCTCATTCTTGGAGCGAAGGATAGAATTATGGTTTAGTTTTGTATGCCAGCAGGGACACCTTCATAAACATAAAAACTGTCGGGATTCGTAGAAATGTATGTCTATGAAAGAAATTGTTGTGGTTGAAGAATAAAAGACTGAATAAAAGTGAAGGTGTATTTGATAATCTGCTAAAATAATTATAGTCCATGAAATTAGTTGAAATGTTAATTTTTTCTGCTTTTATGGTGATTGATGTGGGGGGTCTTGATTCTACTGTGGTCCTAACATCACTTTATCAAGCTTATATGGACTATATAGATTTCCTGTCATTTATGTTTTGATGAATTATGGACTAATCTGTTGCAGGGTTTATATGCTAACTTTTCTTGCATGTCTTTGCCATTGAACTTGCATGAAAAGCACTAACTACCTTCTTTCTCTTCTCCCTGATTGGCTCCAAGGCTGCCAGACAGATCAAGGATAGGTATGGTATAAAACCTACATTTTTTTACTTAAGTGTCAATATTGAAGTCAGAAATGAAATTCAGAAACCATTTTTCTTATAATTCTGTTGATGAAAATAACAATATGTAATTGTTAAGTTCAAAGTAAAGAAAATGTGCTCTGTATATCAGAGAATAACCAGTAAACTCTTTAAGGTCACATTTTAATTTGTGAAAATTACATATCTCTAAGAGAATTTCATTTCTGGTGTAATACTATAGTTAGCTTTAGTTTTAGAATAGTTGTTAATTAGTTTAGTATTCAAGATTAATCTATTTTGAATAACTTAAAGTACATCTTGCTTGGATGTAGTTTTTTTTGCTGCTGTTCTTAAATATAGGTGGGTCTTGTTTTCAGAGAAGCCCAGTGCTGCCAAGTGTCTGCAGGAGCTAAGGCTCTTCACTGCTGTCCTGGTTAACACCTCTGTGTTTCTCTGTCCTCTTCTGGAGCCACCTCCTTCTTCTAATGCCACCACTATCTTGCTTTTATACTGTAGGGAAAAACTCAGGAAAACTATTAAGTACCTTGGCTTAGAAGGAGTCTCTAAAAGGACATTTAGCACTTGTAGAACAATGTGTGAGTGTTGAAGGAGTTGAGGTAACATTTGTGGTGTCACTGGCCTTCCTGACAAGTCATTGAGCATTGTCTGTAGTTTGTAACTTAAGGTTTTTATCTCATGATCGTGAGAGTCTCTGACAGGCACAACTCTTCAGTCTCTTCAAGTCTAGATCAGTTTATTCTTCATCAGATAATTCGCAGAAACACTCAGTGTGGGTTGTGGGAGAATCGGTGTTCCTTGTTCATTTGGAGAAATTTTCTACTGTGTTTCTTTTGTGGTTATTTAACAATGGGGGAGAGGGGACAAGATTTACATAGTGACAAAGCATTCTTAGCACAAATACTAATGTCCATTTCTGTAGATTTTATATTATGAGGTGATTAATGATATGGTTCATTAAGTTCTGGCTATAGGAAGATCACTAGGGCTTTGCTGTCATCCTGAGAGATGACTCACTATTTGCTAGGCTGCTCCTGAACTCTGGGTTCAAGCATGCCTCCTGCTTCAGGCCTCAAGTAGCTAGGATGTAGTTTCACACTCTGTGTTCAGTGAGAAGTACTAATGAGGAATGGGTGAGAGAGAGGAAGTCCTTGATAAGGTAGATCTGTCTGCTGAGATTAGCCAGGAACAAGTGTCTCACACCCAGGCCTGATTATTATTCCGTACTAGCTATTATTCTGTTATACCCTACTGTGGTTCCTGATTTTTCTGGTTTATACATCAATTCCTAACCAGGTTTTGGACTGTCCAAATCTCTCCTTCCTTTCAGGGTTTGTTTCTGTGCTTCTCAGCCCCCATCTTTACTCCTGATGACCTCTGTTCAGGTTTGTTTGTCTGAATTTAATTTCAGTGCCAGCTTTTATGTCTTCTTTCTTCATTGAACAGTCCCATCTTCGCCTCTTTCTCAGTCAGCCTCTCCATGAGATCGCATCAGTATTCAGGCTAATGCTCAGGAATCTGAGTCTTTTGTTCTGTTTTGTTTAAAGCCTCCACTCTTTTCTCTGGATACCCACAGAGCTTTGCACCTTGTCTGAAGAACATTTCTAGGTCTTGACCTATTTTTTAAAAAACTTGATTAAATGTATTCATCTCTTTTGTAATTTTTTTCTTGTAAAATTAATAACAGTGGGAGGAGTTTTAATTCAGCTTCTAAATAATCTAAGAAAGTCAAATGAATTAAAACATATCATACAGCATGGTTTGAGAATGTCTTACCAATTTTAGATTTTTATTTTTGACTTTAAATATATTCAGTTTAAAATAAATACACTTTGTTTGCTTTTTAATATTGTACCTCTGAATTGATTCACATAAGGTGTTTTATTTTGTTTTGGTTTTTTTGAGAATTGAGTTTCTCTGTGTAGCCGTGGCTGTCCTAGAACTTGCTCTGTAGACCAGGCTGGCCTTGAACTCAAAGAGATACACCTGCCTCTACCTCTTGAGTGCTGGGATTAAAGGTATATGCCACCACTGTCTGACAGTTCGTATAAGTTTTTAAGGTTTTTTTTTACTATAATTTTTTATTTTTTTTTCTATTGTGGTGAAATTTCTACTGCATTTTGGGGGCATTCTCTTTCCTTTGTGTTCATTGTTGATTATGTCAAGTTTAGTTTTTGTAGGTATTATAGATTTCAGCATTTTTCATTAAGCAGTTGTTCATTGGGTTTAGAAGAAACCCAATTTACTGATTGAGATCTGTGAACTGTCTCATCTCAGTGCCATGCTCTAGGACTTTTAAATGATACTCAGGGCTGTACAGACCAGCTCGTGCAAAGCTGAGCCTTCGTGACTCACCAGTGAGATGCAAGTCGTTCTTTGGGAAGCAGCAGCTTAGCGCTGTGCATGTGGAGGACAGAGTGCACATTTGGTTCTGATGCAGTCAGGCGGTGTGCGTTGCCTTCCCCATGAACTGATTGCAGTGTTGTACTTTTATTGAAAAACTAATTGATTGCTTCCTTTTCATTGTTATGTCACAGTGATTACTTTGTTTTTAAATGAAGTAAAATAGTTGAATTTAGCAACAGCTTGCCATCAGCAAATTTGCCATGTTTCATCCCTTGATCTCTTGGTGGCAGATCCAGTTGACGACCCTCTCATTCTCTTGGTCCTGTAGCACTCTGTGTAGCCTCTCTCGAGCTGTATATGAGGAAGAGAACATTGGTGAACAGTACTTCTGTATCTTTCTCTTTTTTTCTTCAAGGATAGTGCAGGAATGACTGTAATATTTGTAAAAAAAATTTACGGTGAAATGAAAAAATGCAAATTATGATTAAGTCACAAGTTAATTGAATAAGAGTTTCTTTTCTTTTTTGTATGTGGAAAAAGAATTCTCTTACTTGGGTAGCTGAGGAGAAGCAGGTACAGTGGACACAATTAAGTGGCTTTCATTTTTCACATCAGCGTATGAGTTTCTTTCAATTTTCAGTTTTAACTAAGAACTTTCTTTCTTCCATACTTTGATACAGTAAAATCTGATTTGCCTTGATTCTCATTTTGTATTTTACTGCACAGTTATCTGAGTGTTTATTGAACACATCTTATTTGATGACATATAGATCCCCTGGACTGCCTCTCATGATGTCTCTCCATAGTTGATGCTGTAGAGAGGATGGTATCTTGGTAGAATGGAGCTCATTGCTAATGACCTCGGTTCTCTCCTTTGCCGCCCACGGTCTGTCATTAGCAGGTACTGCAGTGTAACATTAGGTCCTTCTGCCTCTGTCGTGCGGAGGGCACGTGGTGTAGCAGTAGCTGGGAGGATGTTTGAACAGGCTCGTCGTCTGGTGAAGATGAGTGAGGCTAGCATTAGGAAGCCAGTGAGACTGTATACAGAGGTCCTGATGGATGGGATCTTGTGAACAGTGTTTATATTACATGTTGTTTATTGTGATACCCATATGTCTGTGACATTTTATAAAACTGGCCGGAATTTCAGTTTTTGTTTCAATTTTCAAGACAAAGTAAATTTCTATTTGAATGCCTTTGTTACAGTTTCTACAGTCACTAAGTGAAGTAATTTTCATCTTGATTTTATAAATTGTGTAAAATTTGTTACTTTGCATTCATTTATTTAAAAAAGTTTGTCTGTGTTTACCATAGAGTCACAATGGCTTCAGCCTTTCGCCTTTCTTTGAAACCAAAAGTCAGTGACAACATGACACATTTAATGGTGGATTTCTCTCAGGAAAGACAGATGCTGCAAACTTTGAAGTTTTTGCCAGGTAAATACATTATTACATGGGAACTTTCAAATAAAACATATTACAGGATTTTTCTATAATGAAATATTTTGTTAGTGTTGTTTTAATTCTATTTTTGTATTTTTAGTACTAAGTAGTATTTCCATCATCAAGTAAACTGTTAGTTCATGTGTAACATTATTAGGGCAATGGTGACTGGGGGATTTTTTTTTTTTTGAGATTGGCTGTGTTGTTATTACTGTTTTAACTCTCATTCTTGTCTCATACATCCTGACCACACTTTCCCCTCCTTCCACTCCTTCCAGTCCTCCCAGGTCAACTCCTCTGTTTCCCATTAAAAAAAAAAAAAAGATCTCCTGGGGATAGCCACTAAACATGGCTATCCCAACAAAATACAAAATACAAACAAATAACAAAATACAGTAAATCTGGGAACAAACTCACGTAACTGGACTTTGTGAACAGGAAGTAACTGATTGCACAAAGCTATTCCTCCTCTGGATACATAGTCAGAAAGACCAGGATAATAATCCTAGTGCTAAAGAAGCCAGTGAGAGTAGCATAGAGGAAGACCTGGCGTTTATGGCAGAAATTATGAGCTGCAGAGGAATATGTAGAAGGAAAGGTGAAAGAAAGGAGTGTAGCTGAGAGGAAGAAGGAACACTGGTCAGTGGGTGGCTCTATGTATGTCTGAGGCTTCTGACAACACTGGTTTGTCTTACGACTTTTCCACATTATAAGGGTGCTAAGTGATACATTCAGCAGAGACCATGTTTGGATGTCCATCTCTTTCTGGGTCAGTGATGAGCAGTAGGATGTGCTTGCAATGGGGGGCAGCAGCAGGAGCCACTGTTTCTGTGAGCCTTGCAGAGAGCCGCTGTGTGCAGTGAGCACGTGTGGATAAGCCGTAATGCACCCCAGACGAGGCTTATGAATTTTTACATAAGATATTGTCAAGTGATGGTTGCCTTAATGTGACAAAATGCAGTTGTGATTGAAGAACATCTGTACCATCCTTTCATTCATAGGGCTCACCTGGCACACAACTGGTATCAATAAGCAAATAGCATTTCTAGAATTTGGGAATACCAGATGCTTTAAATGGTTTGAGCAATTCAATCTGACACTTGGAATTTCCTTGGGAAAAGACTGGGTCTAATTTAGTTTTGAAAATTTGAAATTTTAGTATCAAAATTCTGCTGATTACCAGTTAACTTTTTAGTACTCACAGGTTCACTTGTGAGCTTGTGATATTGCCTAGTGGTAGAGCACTTGCCTAGCATATATAAGACAACACTGCCAAAGAAAAAGACCCAAATGTTCACCTGTAGGGAGTGGAAGAGGGGCTTAAATTTTATACTAGGAAGTAGATCTCGAAATTTTTTAAAAATTATGTTTTCTCTTTTTTCTATAATCAAAACACTTTTACATTTATTTATTCATTTGTTAATTGTAGTTCAAGACGTTTTCTTTTTTTTTTTTTTACTTTTTATTTATTTATGTTTTTTTTGAGGCAGTGCTTCTCTGCACAACAGCCCACCTGCCCTGGAACTAGCTCTTATAGACCAACCAGGCTGGCCTCAAACTCAGAGCTCCTCCTGCCCCTGCCTCCTGAGTACTGGGATTAAAGGTGTGTGCCACCTGGCTTTACTTTCTTTTTTTATTTAAACATTTTTTCATTTATTTTACATACTGCCCAGTTTCCCCTCCAGCCTCTCCTCCTGTCTCTTCCCTTCTCCCATCTACTCCCCTCCCCCTCTACTACTCCAAAGAGTAATATTTTGTAAAACACTTAGGAAAAAGAAATTTTAAAGAAGCTTTTTTGGCATCACATTCATGGCGCATCTTTATTTACCAGTAGTATGACTCTAGAATTTCACTATTTTCATGTAACCATTTCATATAACATGTAAAGCATTGTTAAACTAATTTCTACCCCAGGAATTTATTATTTCCAGGAAAGGAAAAAGAAACAGTAGTAACCTATGGAGAAGATCTGTCCTGTGCAGTTTCTCCACTCATCAGTTAAAGCTTCTAAAGACCATGCTGGATCTCTTTATTGGAGAGGGAAATGCATGCATAGGAAAAGTCAGAGCAGCACCGGGTGTACAGAGCTGCTCCCTCTCCTGGCATGGCAGCTTTCTTTGGAAGCCTCCATGCTGCTGCTCTGCATCACCAACAGGAAGTGCCCAGACAAGTGTTATAAATACAGTCATGCAACTGCAGTATTTGGACATTCCGCCTTCCTTAAATGACTGTTTCTTTTCATTAAACCTTGTGTTATTCCATTTCCTGTAAGAAACGGAAGAACACATATATACTGTTAAATGCTTTTGCTTTGGAACCTAACAGCATGTGCGAGCTTCTTGTTGATCACTTCAGTTTCACTAATGACTGTATAGTTTGAATTTTTACATTTTTTTCATTTATCGTAAAGCGTTATGTGTAGGTTAGAGGACAACTTGCAGGAATTGGCCTTTGTTTTATATGTGACATCTACCTTTGATCTTATATTATATAGACCTTAACTTTTCTATCAAATCAGTTTATGGTCATTTTTATTGCCTAGCAAAATATTTTATTTTTATGCAGTAAATCACATACATTGATGGAGGAAGGTCATTGGCTAATAAAGGCACTGCCCTGGCCCATTTTATTGGTTAGAGGATAGGTGGGAGGAGTAAACAGAACAGGACACTGGGAGGAAGAGGAAGTGAGCTCAGACTCGACAGCTCTCCTCTCTGGAGCAGACGCCTGGGAGAGATGCGATGCCCCGCTCAAGGCATGAAGCTCCAACCCAGGATGGACTAGGCTAGAATCTTCCCGGTAAGACCGGTTCTCACAGATTATTAGAGATGGGTTGATCGGGATGTGAGAGTTAGCCTGTAAGTGCTAGAGCTAAAGGGCCAAGCAGTGCTTAAAAGAATACAGTGTCTGTGTAATTATTTTGGGGCATAAGCTAGCCATGTGGGCGGCCGGGTGTGGGGAACGCAGCCCTGCCGCCCCATATTACTACATATGGCGCCCAACGTGGGGCAACTGCTTCCACATAAAGCCTGAGACAGCTTGGGAAGTAATTCTAGAACAAAATGAAAGCATTGTGCCTGGTTTCTTGGTAGCAGCAATTTCTCGGTTCTACTCTGCTTGCTAGAGGCAAGCAAACGCCTCATCTAAGAGAGGCTTCCTGACTCAGCTTTAGCTGCAAAGCCTGCAGCTCATTAAGAGGTCCTGCCACGAAACACTTAAACGGTGTTGAAGAAAAGCTGAACGCATGCTTTTCAGTTTTCAGCCGTAGCAAGAAAAAAGCTGCGCCGTTTAAAAATGCTGGCTTTCTGGGCTGTCCTGCCAGGACAAACTCTGACTCTTTTATGCAGGCGGTCCCTGCGGTTTGCAAACACAGGCTGCTGAAGCTCGCTTGCTGGCTACAGCCAGTACCTCAGCCATGAGGCTGGAAAGCTAAGGAATGGACTGGATCTAGCCGGCAAAGCCACGCCTTTAGTCCTACTGAGATTGCTTGGTAAATTAAAGATTCATGTGGTCAGAAAAAGAGAGATATACAGTAGAGAGAGATTCAAAGACAAAGAAAATTTCTAAACGGTTTGAAGCGTGTTAAAAATATATGCAGACTAAAAGTTGAAGTTCTTAAAGTAAAAAAAAAAAGGAAGAGAGTTGTTGTGTGTGGTAGCACACACCTTTAATCCCAGTGCCTAGAAGGCAGAGACAAACAGATCTCTGTGAGTTCAAGGTGTAGTAGCTTACACCTTTAATCCCGAATGCCTGGGAGGCAGAGACAGGCAGATCTCTGAGAGTTCAAAGACAGCCTGGTCTACAGAGTTACTTCAGGTCAAAGATACAGAGAACCTGCCTCAAAAAGCAAAGAGTTAAAAGTAAAAATAAACAAAATAGAGGTTAAAACACAGCTGCACAAAGATGGAAAATACACAGAGAATTTTGATACTATATGCTATTATGCTCTCTTTGAATTGTTTGAATGCTGAGGAAGGACAAACAACTGCTAAAAGATATTTGTTTATAAATGCTGCTGAACTAATCCAACATAGATACTTTGAAAATGCCTTAAATTTGAAATTTGGATCTAAGGACATGATACTTTGGAAAGGAGTTTCTTATTTTGTTTTCACAGAGGATGAGACGCTGTTCATTTCTTCTATTCCGATTTGGTATGATGGACCACGCCCTCCTGAAGGGTTGGTGTGAACGCCTTCAAAAAATGGCTTCGCTCAACTGCCAACTGAGATGAAACTAGCACACAGGTTATACCATGAAAGACCAAATTAACGACGCCCCCATTCAGCAGGAAGCAGTTTGGAGAGAAATAACTGCGCCCAAATTCCCAAAAAATGTTTATAAATGTTCTTTTACATTTAAAGGGGGATATGATATAGATATGAATAATTTGCATTAGTATAGATTTTGCTTTATTGATAGCGATTTAAGGTCAATTTTGTTAAATGTATATGTTTTTCTGATATTGATTAAGGTATTGTGATTGTGTAGTTCATTTAAAAATGTAATGTATATAGGTAGTTATAGATAATCATAATAGTCAAGTTTGTAGTCATGTTAGTTAGATTTTCTAGATATATAGAGATATATTTTAGATAGACATTCTTCATGTCTTTCAAAGATTACAGAATAGGACATTTAATGTTTTAATAACTGAGGACTTTTCATGACAATGAGACACTCTGCTCCTGGCAGCACCAATCTATTTCAAGAGGAAGATGGGCATCGAAGAGGCTCGTTATGGAGTTTTGATAGCCATTTGGGCAAGAAACTGCTCTTGCCTGGACTATTGCATAAACTGGACACAGAGAACCCGCAGAGAGAGGACTACTGAACTTGCCTAAGGTGAGATGATCTTTCGGGGTTCCTGATTCATTTTGAAAGAGTCTGCGAGACATTCTGCAGGACACAACAGATAGTGACTGAACTGACTTTGAATTTTCCTGCTTTATGGAAATGTCTGCTGGATACCATGGGCCTGAAGGCTGAAGATG